TAAACTTTTAGCATCCAAACATTAACATAGCCGTGCGTCTGAGGACTATACTTTTAGCATCCAAACATAAATATAGCCTTGGTTCTAAGACTAAACTTTTAGCATCCAAACATTAATATAGCCGTGGTCTTAAGACTAAACTTTTAGCATCCAAACATAAATATAGCCGTGTCTTAAGACTAAACTTTTAGCATCCAAACATAAATATAGCCGTGGTCTTAAGACTAAACTTTTAGCATCCAAACATAAATATAGCCGTGGTCTTAGGACTAAACCTTTAGCACCAAAACATAAATATAGCTGTGGTCTTAAGACTAAACTTTTAGCATCTAAACATAAATAAAGCCGTGGTCCTAGGACTAAACTTTTAGCATCCAAACATAAATATAGCCTTGGTCTTAGGACTAAACTTTTAGCATTCAAAAAGTCAGCAAGATTGAGCATTTTCTATCTAGGACAACCATTTTCAGCGACATACTTTCTCTTTGAAAAAGATATGATTGCGATCTCGCGTTATTTCCTCACAGTATTTGTGATAGTGAGAGCTAATTTATGCACGAAAGTTGGTATGCACTACGCTTGCATCCATGAGGCAAATTGTGTTCATATGTCACCGGGATCATATGCATAAATTATATGTGAATGCAGTCACATGACAACTTGTTTAAAGCAAAAAGACGAAGCAAAACTAAGGGATCGAAGATAAAAGAAGTTTTCAATTGTGATACAGGTGGTTAATACGTGAATACATAATACAATGTTCGTGGAGAAAAATGAATAAGGAATCGATTAATGTATTATTTATCTGCATGAAAATGGATCTTTTATTACTCAAGGTTGGGGCAGCAATTTCCATATGGACTGCGCTCTAACATCAAACGACCCCAGCCGATCAAAAAAGTCCATACTATGATTATATATGAACATACGCGTATGGTCCAAATATTCATATACTCTGAAACTCATATAATCATGTCCTTGATCAAAAGTTTAAATTCAAAATCATTAAATCGATAAAAGGTTATTTTTCTTCTTTATTGATGAAAGAAATAATGATGACCATATATTTTCACCAGACGACAACAAATTAAGGGGCATAGCTAGTTATTTCTTATAGACGAAAACGCGCGTATTAAGAAGGCTTATGTTTACTACCTGCCAAACAGTTATTTTGCCAACGTGCAGTTTACAGTAGGAAAAATAGGTTAGTTTATTAGTGATTACTAAGATCAAATAAAATAACAATAACTATATGTGTCTATATCATTGAAAATGACACGTACATGTAAAGAAATCAGTAAAGCTGAGGAGGTCAGATAAATTTGACAATTCTATATCAGGTCGTTACACATGTAACTTCCGACGGAATTCCGCCAGCAACATTGAACACATCTTTTTCATTATGACAAGCGTGAAACCCCCACGCTTATTAAAAATAGGTTATTTTTATACATTGTAAGTGATTAATAAGACAATATTTAGTAATAATAGATAGTTAGAATTGAAAATGACACGAGCTGGTGTCGAAATAAAAGCTGAGGAGGAGGTCAGTTAAATTCATTACTTGTTTCTCTTCCGTATCTTTACAAAAAATTTAAAGGCGTTGAGTGAGAGAATCCCTCCATTCTACAGATCATATTTTCAAAAATCAATATAATATTTCTTTCTGGATCGATTGATTGTTGTTTGATTCACGTACAATAGCAAATATTTTATGCATATTGAGGTGGACAACAAATTAATAATAAGAGAGGGCGGATATTTAAACTTGCTACGATACAATAAGAAGGTCCTGCAAATTGGGTCGACTGGGAGATTATAACTACCAAAGGGCAAACTCCGTATGTAAGATAGGGTAAAATGTTACTTGCAATAAGCCACCTACATACCCTTCAAATGGTTTCAATGGTTCTTTAGTGTACAGTGAGCATGGAATCCCCCTACACGAGCATCGAAGTTAACGACCCAATTCTGATCAGACCTGGATATTTATCTATACATCCCACACAGTCAAACAGACCTCTCTAGCATAGGAGAAGTCAAGGTGATATATACATGTACCCGAATCAAGGGGTTATTGATACCCGTGAAATGAATAACTCAAGAAACTAGTCACAAATACAGAATTTTAGAATTGAATTGCTCCTACTGCAATGGATCTCAAATCTTGAACACAGGCGATTGGGGAATGAACTCATTCTTCTAAATGGTTTGTTTTCGTGTTTTAACTTTTGTTTAGTAAACATTTTTTTAATATTTTCACCTATTTTCACTTTTTGTAATGTGTTTTTGCTCTTATCCATACGATTTGTGGAAAATAAGAATAGAGGGCATCATATTAACTATTTATAACACTTCTATACATGAAAATTTGACAACATTCTAATAAATTTTCAAACTGAAATATTATGATCGTTGAATGATTACCGTTAGTATAATAGACGTGTTGGCTACAACACTGACTGTTTTGTCTTATTTGTTATATTATTATATTTTGACTTGTTTAAACCCAAAACGATGGATAACTTTTTACAGTTTCAACAGCCTATTTAAATTATTTTTAGAATTTATTTGCTCCCACTGCAATGGATCTCATTTCTTGGACACAGGCGATTGGGGAATGAACTCATTCTTCTAAATGGTTTGTTTTCGTGTTTGAACTTTTGTTTAGTAAATATTTTTTGATATTTTAACCTATTTTCACTTTTTTGTAATGTCTTTTTGCTCTTATCCATACGATTTGTGAAAAATAAGAATAGAGGGGCATCAGATTGGCTACAGTATAGGAGAGGGTTGAGATCTCACAAAACATGTTTAACCCTGCCGCATTTCTGTCCAAAGTCAGGAATCTCTAGCCTTTGTTAGTCTTGTGTTTTTTATTTTGGTTCATTTGTATGTTTCGGAGTTAAGTGTGGCGTCCATTTCGCTGAACTAGTATACATTATTGTTTAGGGGTCAACTGACCTCCGTGTGCGGGATTTTCTTGCTGCGTTGAAGACCCATTGGTGGACTTGGATTGTTTTCTGTTCTTTGGTCGTGTTGTTATTTCTTTGACACATTCCCCTGATCCGTTCTCTATTCTACTGTCCTTATGCTGATTATGGATGAAATGATAGAAACAGAACTTAAAGCAAGTAACAGTCAGTCATCAGATATTTATTATAAAAGAGACTTAACTATACTATTATGTTAACTACGTTGTAACATGATATGTCTTTGAGTTTCTCTCTCTGGCGCTCAACAAAAAAATGACTTCTGTGAGAATAGAAACTAAACCTTTTCATTTCGGGGAGACTAGCTAGTTGCAATGTCCGAGATGGTATAAGGCATTTTTGTCGTTGAAGAGACCGGCCGGAATCGACTGACACCTATTAAGGAGAGGTTTACATTTTGGCAAGTCAGCCTTAATTCAAGCTTATATAGCAGTACGCGCTGATGATATGGCAACGTAACTTTCTTAGTTATTATAGCCAAATATCGAAATTGTCCAAAGTAAGGCTAATTGTTAAGTTGTTTAAGAACAGATTATTTTATGTCCAAAGTTATAAAATAATGTTGACCAGCTTGTGATGTTAATTTGATTTGTATCTCATTAGAGATTTGATCTATTAAGAAATAGTTAAATGGCGTGAATCAGATGTGGATACTAAAAATTTCCAAAGATCTTTTAGAGTACATACAATCTGAGACTCTTTCCTCTTGCAATAGTATTAAAGCATTTGACTTTACATTTTATACAAGTATTCCCCATTCCAAACTAAAAGACAAATTGAGAGAGTTGATCCTGCTTTGTTTTATAAAAAAGAATGGCCTACGTAGATACAAGTTTCTTGTCTTAGGGAGGGATAAATCGTTCTTTGTAAAAAATCACTCTGATTCAAACAAAACATTCTCTGATTCTCTGCAACTGACATTATCAAGATGCTTGATTTCTTGATTGACAACATATTTGTCTTGTTTGGAGGACGTGTTTTTCAACAAACAATCGGCATTTTTATGGGAACCAGTTGTGCTCCTCTTCTTGCCGACTTGTTCCTTAATTCATATGAGGCTGACTTCATACAGGAACTTCTTAAGAAGAAAGAAAAGAATTTAGCAGTATATTTTAACTTCACTTTCCGCTATATAGATGATGTTCTCTCACTAAATACTAAAAGTAATTCAACATTTGGTGACTATGTTGAACGCATCCATCCCATCGAATTTGAGATAAAGGATACAACAGATACAGTTAAGTCGGCCTCATATCTTGACTTACATCTAGAAATTGATACTAATGGTCAGTTGAAAACAAAACCAGTTTACGACAAAAGAGATGATTTCAGCTTCCCAATTGTGAACTTCCCATTTCTATGTAGCAACATTCCAGCAGCACCTGCATACGGAGTATATATCTACCAGTTGATACGATATTCCAGGGCTTGTTTTTCCTATCATGATTTCCTTGATAGAGGGTTGCTGCTCACAAGGAAGCTATTAACTTGACTAAGAGTTCCAAGTGGTGAAGTTGAAATCGATACTTCGTAAATTTTACGGACGCCATCACGAGTTGGTTGACCGTTATGGAATATCCGTTTCACAGATGACAACGGATATGTTTCAATTGTCGTAATTACAATCCCGTCCCCTATTACCCGAATGTGACCTACCGAATTAGACTTATCACCGGGATTGTATTAACACGAGCAACACGACGGGTGCCACATGTGGAGCAGGATCTGCTTACCCTTCCGGAGCACCTGAGATCATCCCCAGTTTTTGGTGGGGTTCGTGTTGCTCAGTCTTTGGTTTTCTATGTTGTGTTTTGTGTACTGTTGTATGTTTGTCCTTTTCTTTTTAGCCATGGTGTTGTCAGTTTATTTTCGATTTGTGAGTTTGAATGTCCCTTTGGTATCCTTCGCCTCTCTAATAGTTCATTTGTATTAATCTTGTAATGACAAAGAAAGTGTCTTAGCAGATTATTTAAATTATTATTGACAATACCCAACTATACGTTGTAGTATTGCTATTGATCCTTCTTAAAGTGAAATAATAGTTTCCGACCTAGTTTGCTATAAAGTTTTATCAAATATTTTGTCACAATATATAACCAAAAATTATCAAATATTCCACAAATCTCATCAAAAGAGGTAGCTCACACATTATAACTGACATATCCACTTCAGTGTTGGTGCTGTATTATCGATTACACAAAATATGTTGCGTAATTATCTAATTTTGGTATCTATTTATGTAATTATTGTATAATAATAAGAATCTTTGTTAATTTATTACAAAATATTGTGCCAATTATTGATAGCATATCACAGATAAAATTCTTCACGAGTTAGCAAAATCATGAAAATATGATAAAACATTTAATTGAAGTGTTTTCTTTGAATGTTTCATTTTCTGGGAGGATGCAAATACTGATAAAAATACGTCAGAGAAGACTCTTATCAGATTTCAAAATTTAACATGATATAAATGGTCGAATGGAAAAATGTAAACATATAACAGATGTATAGAAGGTAAGAAATGTTATTTTATACTATTTTATCAAGTAATGGTTTGATATTGTTTCGGTGTATTTTTTACAAATTTAAAACGGGAGGGACTTTTAAGAAAAAATCTCATTCAAATTCCTATCATACTGGAAAAAGAAAAACTCAGACGACCTAACCTTTGAAAACAACTTGTCATCTGTAGTTTTAATGAAACTTATGTCGGGAGCAAAGACCTTTACTTATTCGTAGAAGCGTTAAATAAACATTTTCTGCTTTACTTTCCCTAAGAAGCACACAGTTCTACGCAATGTTTGTTTTGTACACGTGTATTTATCTAGTGCACATGCCATAAAGAGTTTTAACCATCTTGGCTCAAATGTATATTAAAATTTCTCCATACATTAATTATCCCCCATATACTTTTCACCCGAAATTCATGTATTGCTTCCTTAATTTACAATCTTCTTAAATGAATATATAATGAATAAATCTTTATTGCAAAAGCATAAACATGCAATGGCAAAAATAGCAACATATAATACATAATATAAACACGGATAGACAGCAGAGAACAATAGTATAATATTATGACAAATGTAAAGTTATGAAACTATATTTAGATATGAGATCTACTAATCCATGCAGATGTTATATAATTACATAATTTGATAGTGAGAGACTTACTAGATTACTGATTATTAGACCAAGAACAATAATACTTTGGTAAAATTAGTACTTTGCACTTGAAGTGAATTATTTGGCACAGCCAGTCAAATTTCAAATGAAGTTTAGCTTTAGTTGAACGTTACTGAATCATTTCTATAAATTCTTGACGAGACATTTCACTCTTTGACCTTATTGTGATGCATCCCCTACAAGAATCCTCTGTTGGTTTTTTTTATCATAAAGGAATTCATGAATGCATCCAAAAACCACATTTCACTTCTATGTTCCGCTCTTTTAACATCTGATTACTGTTCTCTCAACAAAGAGGCGCGGATCCGGCCATTTTGAAAAGGGAGGAACACCACAAAACGTTCACATATTAAGTAAAAAAACAAACAAAAAATCGAAAAAAGGGGAGGGGGGGGGGGGTTCCAACCCCCGGAACACCCCCGCTGGATCCGCCAGTGAAGAGTATTTTTTCGGAAGCCCTCCATCTCCATTTAAACATTTATTGCATTTTACATTGTATTTTACTGCACTAGATTCGTATTTCGACAATGAATGGTCTCTTCAGTGATGCTCGAGGCCAAAATATTTGTAAATACAAAACCTAATTCAAAGGTTGAAGAGCTTATCAAACCAAAAAGGACCTAAGATAAAACTAAATCCAGATAAGAAACAGATAAGAAATAAGTGGTTTGGATGATGGAGATAAAGTCATTAATGCAAAAATGATTTTTAAATTTTTGAACAGCAAGTTCCTTAAAACAATGTTAATGTCAAGCTATTCCCTAATTTAGTGACCTTTATTTCTTGACAGATTATTTCATAATATTGATGATTTGATTGACAATCGTTGACATTTTAAATTTATTGCAGTCGATTGTTTAAGCAGTTAGGAATATTGCATATGCAATCCTAATAATGTTATGCATTAAAAATACAAAAGTACTACGTTCATACTCTGCATCTTGACGTGTTAATTGAAACCCTGGCATAAATGACTATGTCGGCAACAAAAAGGCAAGACAAAGGAGACCGTTAATTCCTCTATAATAAATAGGACTATAGTTTGACTATTTTCAAATCATAAAATTGACAAAGAAATCCTTCTATTGCAATTGTATATTGAATTCTGTAGCACTCCAGCAAGGAATTACTGAACTAGATGTGTCATTAACAGCAAGGGATAACTGGACCATACGAGTCATTAACAGCAAGGGATTACTGGACTATACACGTCATTAGCAGCAAGGGATTACTGGACTATACGTGCCATTAACCGCAAGGGATTACTGGACTATACGTGCCATTAACATCAAGGGATTACTGGACTATACGTGCCATTAACAGCAATGGGTTACTGGACAATACATGTCATTAACAGCAAGTAATTACTGGACTATACGTGTCATTAACAGCAAGGGATTACTGGTCTATACGTACCATTAACAGCAATGGGTTACTGTACTATAGTGCCATTAACAGTAATGGGTTACTAGACAATACGTGCCATTTACAGCAAGGGATTACTGGACTATACGTACCATTAACAGCAAGGGATTACTGTACTATACGTGCCATTAACAGCAATGGATTACTGAACTAAACGTGTCATTAACAGCAAGGAATTACTGGACTATACGTGTCATTAACATTATATTTATAAGTCCTATTCATCGTAATGTGACAGCGTTTGTTATGCGTATAATTTTAATGGAGCAAATATTTGACGATGGTAACCTGTTCTCGAAAAATCAGTAAAATCAGGCCGTTGGTTTTCTTTTTTGATTTGTATCTCATTTTGTCATGTCTGGGCCTTGTATAGCTTAGTATGGTGAACGTATAGCTGTTTACATTCTCATCCTATGATCTCTTATGGATAGTTGTCTCATTGGCAATCATACCACATTTCCTTTTTTGTTATACAGACACGTATAAGTATGAATAAGAGAAAATGGTGGGTATACGCGAGTGAGATAGCAAGCCAACGACAAAAACGATCAAATGATCAGCTAGAGGGCAAGATCTTCAACAATAGAAAGGTGTCTACTCAATATATCATGCAAAGTAAATCTTTTGTCGCTGTGTAGGAAAATATAGTGCTTTGCTTGACTTAAAGAGTAAAACACAAAAAAAATCTCCGAAGTTTACGACTCATGAAAAGTACAATAGAAACTTAATAATTTAGGAAATGCAACAATAATTGATTATGCACTTATTTACAAATTTTGGTGGTAAATTATAATTAATTCGTTAATCATTAACCATACCCGGATATAGTGAAAGACAAAATTAATCAATCTTTCAAACAATTTTTTTTTATTGCTTATATATTTGTTTTGTTGTATTATATAACAATATCATAAAGAATATTGTACTTTTAATTTCAAATTTGTACAAGTATCACCTCCTCCAAAATATCTAAATATATGATACACATAATATGATATGAATGTTGGTTAACTTTGAATATTGTATGAGTGTAAATATTGTCATGTTTGTCTTGGTAACAACCCAATATTTGGATTTTACACCAATCAAACGATGTGATTTGATTTGATTTTACACGCGAAAAATGTTATCAAGTGAGGTGTACTTTGAATACTAGCAATATACATTCTTATTACATTTCAGGTTACTGATGAAAGACATGCGATTTTCAACAAACCATTTCCTATACCTAATTTAACATACCAGCCGCCTATGTGTCTAATTGAAGTTTACATAGGGGGACTTTTGTGAAGTTATTATTTTAACCATTCTACAAGAAAATGACGTCGAATGCCTCAGTCTTAATCAGTAATTATACGGATTATTTTGGACCATTTCAGACTGGATTATTTGGAACTTGGTTAATCATCATAATAATGGCTTCAATAATAGGGAATGTGATGGTTATAATTGTTATACTGCGAGACAGTAACATGAGAGCAGCTAAGAATGGCACCAATTTATTCTTATTCAACCTAGCTATTTCTGATATGATGGTCGGAATTTGCATGGCACCGGTGTCTTTGAATACACTTATTTACGAAAAATGGCAATTTCCACAATGGTTTTGTAGTATAAATAGTTTTCTAAATTCTGTATTTTTGTCGTTATCCATTCATACTCTAATGTATATTAGCATACACAAATATTTCTCATTAAAAAGACACTCAAATGGAGACCGAACATTTATTTCTCGAAAAATTTGTGTATTAATGATAGTTGCAGCTTGGTTGTGGGGGGTCATGTTAGGTGTCGCTGCAGTATCTGGACTAAGTAAAGCAGTCTATAGGCAAAAGAAACTTCAATGTGGTCCGATGTACCCACATTTTAACATACCAAAAGATTCTATTCTGTTCTTCACTAATTTTACAATAAATATCTTGCTACCAATTGTGATCATGGGAATTACATACAGAAAAATATTTACAATTCTCCATCAATCTGTTGTGTTCCGACGGAATTCCGCCAACAGTACAGATGACATTTTTTCCGATGACAAACGTGTAACCATCACGCTGGTTCTTGTGCTTGGTGTATTCATTGTGTGCTGGTTACCTTATGTTGTCTACATTTTCTTGGCTCTAATGTTAGAGGACAAAAATGATATTCCATCATACATAAATCCGTTGGTAAGTAAGTTATGTAATGATATTTGTGTAAATAAAAGAACTTGAGCACTGTAACAACAATATAACACTTTAATGACATCTATAGCTCAACATTCCATTTTCCTTGATAGACAATTGTCTTGATTACATACAGCGCGATTCTTAAGAACAAGAGCAACATCAAATCGGTTGACAAATGGAATGCAGATTGATAGAGAAATATTTAGGGAATTTTTAGGAAGAGACTGCGATGAAGATTTAGATAACAAATAAATGTCATCGAATGTGAAAGAAATCTATAGAGACAACCAAAGTTTGCTATTTATTTTATTGCTCTGTGGAGAAAAGACAAACAGAAATCACTGAAAGGGAAATAAAGGGAAATACGGGTTCTTTATAAGCTTATATCAAAGTCATATCTTTTTAACAACAATATCTGTCGCTGTATTAATACATTTTTTTCTACCAGCAGCGTCTTTATCAATGCATAGAAGTCGTTTTTATGCAATGTAACGTGGACATGTTCACAGAATGCTAAAAACAGAAAATTGAAAATAATAAAACTTGGTCATGTCTAAATTTGTAAACAAGGAAATTGATTTTAACTCCACATGCATTAATATTATTGTATATTTATTACCTTAGTCAATGTGAAATTTAAATTTACAAATAAGGGATTTGATATAAACCCAAAATTACAAAATGCGTGAATTACTATAATTAGTATTGTATATTTATAACCTTAGTCAATAAGTATATCAAGCCAAGAAGATGATCCTAAATCTCGTTTGTCTTATTAATTATATTTCATTGAATACATCCTGCATGAATAAAATGCGTTTATTCAACAACAAAAAATGAAATATGAGTATTCATTCGAAAACATGCATGCATTCATATGTTTGTAGTTCCAAATTGCGTTTGAGATCACCATTTGCAAATCAAACTAAAATGTACTTGCTACATGACAGTACAAAAGCAGAATACAGTTCAAAATATAGAAAGCGTACAAATATATAGGCATTATACCATAAATCATTAGTCTATGAGGGATTGAAATAATCATGGCCGAACTTGAATTAAGCCTTTTTTCAGGAGAGTGGCACTGTGCAACTTATTTATTTGTATTGAACTTTTACTCAAGTGCAAGTTGTGCTTTGATCATCTTTTACAATGCTATTTTCTTTGCTAGTCAATTAATATCATGCAAACAGCACAAATACCCTACAAGTACTTCCTTATTTCAATATTTCGACAGTTTTACACACAAATAGTCATTCAATCTCACTTCTTTTTTTATAGTATTTGCGCACTAGTTGGTCCCGCGCATGAACTTTCTTAATACTTGATCGTATTTCGTAAAATCTTGAGGGCGGTTCCGGAATAAAATATGAAGCTTACCACTATTCACGCTCTACTGGTACTCTAATAAATTGAACAAGATAAAAGAAACATACAACTCTAATATTGTGGTTGATATTTTAAAGATTTTCAATCGAAATTGTCACAAGTAAGTAAGTGTCATGAATTAAGATTAAGAAACTCAATGAACAATGCCGTTCTTTATTTTGCTTATGGTAAATACGTTAAAAATTATTACTCCAATTTAGATTTAAAAAATAGTTGTCTTAATATGGTTTCTTCACATGAAGGTCATTTTAGAAACAGATTTTTTTTCTAGATAGCCCCACTTTTTGAAAATCATGTTCTCAGTTCAGATAAAAAAAAAATTACAGTCCTGTTGCAGAATTTTCTGTATCCAAATTCGACTGTCTCACCCTTAAAAATCGTGTTGTATCTAAGACACACCTCTGTCAATGTTGAACGCATATTAATTGATAGAGTTTTATGTTGTTAATAAATTTAGAATGACTAAGACCATATTAATGTAAATTTTACTTTTAATATGCTACAGCTGGCTTAGAATGTGACCTATTATTATGTAAGTCAATGTTTCAAAGCGTAGATAAAGATTGTTTATGCCGGTACATTAAATAAAATATTCTTATCTTAAATTTAATAATAGACAATTTGTAACAAATTAACATATTCAAAACCGATATGTGGTATTTGATACGATTGCCAATAAGACAACAACATTGTATACACCAGATATCAAAGGACGAGAATGTAAACAATTATGTGTCACTGTACGGACTTCAACAATTAGCTAAACCCATACCTTAAAATTTGGTATTGCAAAGGGTCCTGCTTGAGTTCGTCTTTTCTCTAATACCGTTGGAAATTTGTTGATTGATATTTTATTCTTGGAAGACATGGCCTATTTGTTAATTGAAATAGGGCTTTGAACTAGCATTCAGTAACTGCGAGTAATCCCTTAACCCTCATGGTCCTGCATCATTTTCATCCTTATATTAAGACATTGCATAACGCCCTCTGTTTCCCGACTGCTTATGAGTCTTTATTCTAAATACGTTAGAATTGTGCTGATTGATATTTTAGTCTGAAGGTATTGTTTATTTATGAGTTGAAATTGGCCTTTGAACTTACTTTCAGTATCTACGATTACTCTTACATGAAAATAAGATGTGGAATGATTACCAGTGATACAACTATAGGACTTTGTATGGCCTTCAACAATGAGCAAAACCAATACCGCAAGCAATAATAAGCCCGTATTAACAAGATGTGAAACAATTCATTATAGAAAACCAACGGTCTGACTTGTTTTTTGACTTATGATAAAAAATAATTGGTTAATTTCTTGAAAAATGTACTCCCAATACATATTTTCCAACATAGGAGCATTAATTAACACCATTTATATTTCTATTTAGCTTACTTGGAATATTATTTTTAAATCATCAATCAAAGAAGCAATTGCAAGATCTAAGTTCTATTACATTAGCATGATGTATTTGCATAAGAAAAGCTCTTTGGATCTAAATTATTACTTATCGTTATATGAAAACTTCACAAGTACTTCAAGTACATACATGGGTTTTTTTGCATGTGAGAGAGCTGTCTACTAATAGTTTTTATTATTACATCATTTGAACTTTGGTGGATAGTTGTCTTATCGGCAATCATACCACATCTCCTTATTTTTATATTGTTGCTCTTCAATGGCTCTTGTATTGTTATGTTCTACGAAAGCTCACACAGATAAGTTTAAATTTCGAGATCCATAATTCAATTTATGAATTTGAAAAGCATGATTGTAGATTCGACATGCAATTTACATATTTTAATATTTTAAAGTAGCCTAAAGAGGAAAACTTAGTCCTAACATTAAATGATAAATTTGGTGAAAGGTATATTTTAAGTATATCATAATATTAAATGACAAAAGTAATCAATTTGCCCTTTATCACAGATAGTGTTGGATACAGTATTTCTTTAAAAAGGGGTTGAGTTTTTACGTGTAACACAGGATTTCAACCATATTTATACAAACTCTACATAACTCTTATAATAGGGATTGTCCTACCATAAAACCAAAATGTATATTGCAATGGAAGGTTTTTATTAAAATGTATGCCTAACCTTGTAAAAACTATAACAGCTTTACAAGTACATTAACAAAGCTTTAAGTAAATCAAACTAAATAATTAAAGCAATTAAGCACATTTATCTTCTTGGTATCAATACAGACACTTGGCTTGTTGCTCTCAACACTTGATCTGTTGGTCTTAGCAAGGGACACTTGACTCGTTGGGTTAAGTACGGACACTTGACTTATTGATCTCTGTAGTACAGACTGTACGGACACTTGACTTGTTGATCGCTGTACGGACACCTGACTTGTTGGTCTCAGTACGAACACTTGACTTGATCTCGGACGGACGAACGCTAATTATTTGCTAAATGTTTGTTTCGGATCGAGACTTGACTGGTTTGTTTCCGACGGTCACTTAATTTGTTGCTCTCAGGACGGACACTTTACTAGTTGGTATCTGACGGACTCTTGACTTATTTGTCTCAGGACGAACACTGTACTTGTTGGTCTCAGTACGGACATTTGACTTGTCTCAATACGGACGCTTGACTTGTTTGTCTCAGTATGGAACCTTAACTTGTTTGTCTCAGTACGGACACTGTACTGGTCTCAGTACGGACATTTGACTTGTTTGTCTCAGAACGAACACTGTACTTGTTAGTATCAATACGGACACTGTACTTGTTGGTCACAGTACGGAGACTTGACTTGTTGGTCTCAGTACGGACAATGTACTTGTTTCTCAAGACGGACATAAAACTTATTTGTCTCTGTACGGACACTTGACTTGTTTGTCTCAGTACGAACACTGTTTTTGTTGGTCTCAGTACGGTCACTGTACTTGTTGGTCTCAGGACGAACACTGTACTTGTTGCTCAAAGTACGGACACTATACTTGTTGGTCTCAAAACGAACACTTGTCTTGGTTGTTTCAGTACCGACACTGTACTTGTTGGTCTCAGTACAAACACTTGACTTGTTGGTCTCAAAACGAACACTTGTCTTGTTTGTTTCAGTACGGACACTATACTTATTGGTCTAAAAACGAACACTTGTCTTGTTTGTTTCAGTAAGAACACTATACGTGTAAGTCTCAGCACGGACACTGTACTTGTTGGTCTCAGGACGAACACTGTAATTGTTAGTCTAAAAACGAACACTTGTCTTGTTTGTTTCAGTACGGACACTATACTTGTTAGTCTAAAAACGAACACTTGTCTTGTTTGTTTCAGTACGGACACTGTACTTGTTGGTCTCAGTAAAAACACTTGACTTGTTGGTCTCAAATCGAACACTTGTCTTGTTTGTTTCAGTACGGACACTATACTTGTTGGTCTAAAAACGAACACTTGTCTTGTTTGTTTCAGTACGGACACTATACGTGTTAGTCTCAGCACGGACACTGTACTTGTTGGTCTCAGGACGAACACTGTACTTGTTGGTCTCAGTACGAACACTTGACTTGTTGGTCTCAAAACGAACACTTGTCTTATTTGTTTCAGTACGGACACTATATTTGTTGGTCTCAAAACGAACACTTGTCTTGTTTGTTTCAGTAAGAACACTATACTTGTTGGTCTCAGTACGGACATTGTACTTGTTGATCTCAGGACGAACACTGTACTTGTTGGTCTCAGTACGGACACTGTACTCTCAAAACAAACACTTGTCTTGTTTGTTTCAGTACGGAAACTATACTTGTTGGTCTCAGTACGAACACTTGACTTGTTTGTCTCCGTACGAACACTGTACTTGTTGTTCTCAGTATGGACACTGTACTTGTTGGTTTCAGTACGGACACTATACTTGTTGGTATCTGACGAACACTGTACTTATTGGTCTCAATACGAACACTTGACTTGTTTGTTTCAGTACGGACACTGTACTTGTTGTTCTCAGTACGGACACTGTACTTGTTGGTCTCAGTACGGACATTGTACTTGTTGGTATCTGACGGACACTGTACTTTTTGGTCTCAGTACGAATTCTGTACTTGTTTGTCTCAGTACGGACACTGTACTTGTGTCTCAGTAGGACACTATACTTGTTGGTCTCAGTAAGAACACTTGACTTGTTGGATTCAGTACGGACACTGTACTTGTTGGTCTCAGTAAGAACACTGTACTTGTTGGTCTCATTACGAACACTGTACTTGTTGGTCTCAGTACCGACACTGTACTGGTTGGTTTCAGTACGGACACTGTTGTTGTTGGACTCAGGACGAAGAAATGACTCATTGGTCTCATTACGGACACTTATTTGTCTTGGAAGGACACTTGACTGTTTTGTATCAGTACGGACACTGTACTTGTTGGTCTCAGGACCGATACTTGAATTGCGGGACTCAGGACGGACACTTGATTTTTTAGACTCAGGACGGACACTTGACTTATTTGTCTTGGAAGGACACTTGACTTTTTTGTATCAGTATGGACACTTGACGTATTGATCTCAGGACGAAGAAATGACTCATTGGTCTCAGTACGGACACATATTTGTCTTGGAAGGACACTTGTCTGTTTTGTACCAGTACGGACACTTGCCTTGTTGGTATTATGAAAATACTTATTGGTCTCAGTTCGGACCCTTGATGTGTATGTCTATGTGAAGACGACTTGTTGGTCTCGGCAACGGATAATAGATTTGTTGGTCTGAGGGCGGAAATTAACTTGTTGTAGTTCAGTACGGACTTTGATGCTGAAAGAACGAAGAAGCAATATTTTATCAGTCGGGGAGTTGTATATATTATATTATTGATACTAATATTCCCCCCTCCCTCTAAAAAATGCCATATTGTACGTTTCTCTTACAATTTTTCCATTCTTAAGTATGGTGTTAGTATGACTTTAATGGTTTTTGGCTCCATCATACGGTGTTTATATATCCCAACTCGTTCGTTATGCCCGTGTGTGTAGTGATGTCATAGATTTTAACGAACGTAATCAACGTATCACTGGTAAATTATTAAGTCAGGGATTTCGTTACCATAAATTGCTTAAAACTTTTACTAAATTCTTTCAAAGATACATAGATTTGATTAGTAAATTTTACCTGTACCTGTAGACAACTTATTAAAAAACGGTATTTCACATCCTAAATTTTACGGTAATATTGTACTAAAAGCGCGGAAATCACTATGTGATCCGTGTAAACTCATCAAACCTTTAAACAAACTTATTAGACAAGTAAAGGTTATCTTACCAATGTTGTAATTAGATCTTTGAATATAGTTTACAATGGCACAAATATCGATTTTGTCAACAGCAAATCAAAACATAACTAAATTTGTATTCTTTTCAAACGGTTTTTTGGGATGTATAAATGCACATCCACGTTCATTTTCTATATAGAAATTACTCTATCTATATATTACATTATACATATTTATTAACATGTTAACTCTTAACTATCCTACTGCCTGTCGATACTTTTATTTTGGCATTGCACAAGTCATGTCTTCTTTGACTGTCCATGACGTTAAAACACTATAAATCCCTGGGATGTGTTTTAGTTGATTTTAGTCTCTGATGCATGATTTTTTATTATTAATTGTTTTTGGCTTTTAACTAGCTTTCAGTAACTGCGAGTACTTTCAAATCGTACTTTCGTGTTAATTTGACCTGTTGATACAATTTGCAATATTTTTTTGTTATTTAATGTTTACTTATTCAGTGTTATATCTAGTCTCACTATTTTTAATATATACCACCTTTGATAAGTGTTTAGTATGACGATAATTATATTTTCATTTTTGTCCTCGTACTAGGAACAACAAAATTATTTATTTTGTAAAATTTATTTCCGTACTCCATGTATACCCTTACAACAAAATTATTTTTATTTACCTGTGTACGTTATTTTATTTGGCGGCATTTTGTCCAAGGTTATGGTTGTCTTTTTGATATTGTTTTACATCTAACCCCTTGTTTTATTAATTTTGTATTTACATTGTATCATAGATCAAATTTATTCGTTCAGTGTATTTTCACTTGTTTTTGTTAATATGTCTTTTGATGGAGTTAAGCCATTTCAATTGATATTTTATAGTGTTTCTTTCTATGTTGTGGTGTTACACTATAGTTTCAGGTACGGTGAAGGTTGGCGCCTATTAAAACGTTTAAACCCGCTGCATTTGTTTGCACCTGTCCTAAGTCAGGAACCTGATGTTCAGTGGTTGTTGTTTGTTGATGTGGTTCATAAGTGTTTCTCGTTTCTCGATTTTATATAGATTAGACCGTTGGTTTTCCTGTTTGAATGGTTTTACACTTTTTACATTTTTGGGGCCCTTTATAGCTTGCTGTTCGGTGTGAGCCAAAGCTCCGTGTTGAAGGCCGTACTTTGACATATAATGGTTTACTTTTACAAATTGTGAATTGGATGGAGAGTTGTCTCATTGGCACGCATACCACATCTTCTTATATCTATTATAATACTATCTAATATCGAGTTTCAAATTTTAAAATGGATTGATCCTACTGGGCCTTCGTAAGTTGCAATTGTTTTTATTGATAACATTTAGTTTGTATATATTGATCATTTTGCTATTTGACTTGACATTTTAACAAAATGAGGTCCTATATCATTAGTGCAAGCATATTTAATTACAGAATTCGTCATGTTCAACTACAATAATAAATAAATACGAATAAACAAGTAATTCGAAAGTAGGATTAGGAAACAAGAGCAGCAATTTTATATAAGTCCATTTTCCTATATTCTTTGCTAAGCATCTCGCCCCCCCCAAAAAAAACCCCAACAAAACAACAAAAACAAACAAATAACACCCGAATGCAACGCAAAATCTGAAATCACCAATCAGAACACAGGTCCTCAGTCTTTGATATCTGATATCGATTGAGTAACAATCCATACTTGTGAACAGATGCTATGAGATAACGAATTCTGGTCACCTAGATTTTAATACTAACAAATAAGCCCCCCCCCCCCCCAAATAAGATGCTGGGTTTTCTTTTTAAAACATTCATAGGTTTCTCTAGAAGGACAGTCTGGTACGCATCGTCTTTGTAACAGATAGATCTTAATTCTCTTGTAATTTAACAATTTTACGACATTTATCGAGTTTTTAATTCTAAACCGTTATTCAAGGTTTTTCTCGATGTTTTCATCATTAACTATATCGGTATCGTACAAACTCATCAAAGATGCCAGCGACTCTTTTCACAAAAAATCTTACGATTTAAATTGATCGTAAGTTATACTGAAATGTGTATGACTTACGAGTATTTTTACTCTTAAGATTTTTTGTGAAAAGAGTCGCAGGTTCATTATTTTGTTCCTCAAACGCGCATTTCGTCTACATAACATTCATTAGTGATGTTGTTTGTGTTTTTGATATTCTGCAATACCAGAATAAATTCGATTAAATGCATTTGTCCGTTTTGATTAACCGCCTATCAAAATTTATGTCATTTAACGCTTGCAATACGATGTGAGCATTTATTTATTTTCGATTTTGCTTAAAAAAAACAGTATGGGAATAAAAAATACAAAATGAAGCACCATAATTAAGCATGGTAGTAATAAGCAGATTTATAAGTATGATAAGCTCGGTATTAAAGCTAATAGGAAATATAAAAATGTAAACTAACTAAGCATGATTAGAAAGTGGGTAAAACTCATAGCATAAAAGGATAGAATATGATCTAAATGGTAACCATTTAACAAAATACATGTACATATATATTAATAATCTTCACAAACTGTTTAATGTTCGAACTCTAGGTATATTTACAATGTTAGAATATCTATACTCATATTTATAATCTTTTCAGTATAACTAAGTCGTGTAAATTGGTGGTGACAACTTATATAAAATTTTAGAACATACAATAGACATGTTACGCAAACGTCTAAATTTAAGGGATTGAACCTTTGCTCGTACAAATAATTCATCATACGTACTACTATAGTCTTAATATATAAATCGTAAAACCCTTTCTTATTTAGTGGTATAAGATGTGTTGCAAAAATGCCAAAAAAATTATATGAAATAAATGTGTGAAAAATTGTCAATTTATTTAATTTTGTAAGATAGCAACCGATGCGCTCTCAAACAGTCAGTTGATGAGATACTTTACGACACATATTTTTAATGTGGTGAATAAAATTAAGTGGATAATCAATATCAATACCTAATTTGACAATCACATGACATGATATTTTAGCTGTCAGACTGTATATTAAAACAGGCTTCTTCGCAAATGTTGTATTTTCAACTGCAATGACTTGGAATTTATCAGGATTTTCCTGCATACAATTCAATTTAAACCCATGAATTAAAACCTTGCATTATTCCCATTATTCAGAATCCCGAATTTTGTCGAATTAATGTTTAATCAATAAGTTTATGTTTTCAGGCTTACTGTTCTGGTTTTACAAACAGTATATGTAACCCGGTTATATACGCCTTCCGATTTAAAGACTTCAGAAAAGGATACAAGCAAATTTTACAAAGGTCGTCCTGTACTGGTACCAAAGGTAAATATTATGTAAACGTCAGGTTTAAATATTGCAAATTTTTAGGGAAACTAAATAGCTCAAAATGTCATCATTTCCTATAATTTTATGGAGAACTCTTTTAAGCATATTTTAATACTCGTTAATATTCAAATTTTATCAACTGCCTCTTGAGTAAAAATACAGAAAAAGTTATCATGCCTAATCTGATGTTTTGTTTTAATATTTACACCAAGATGTCGTTAAAAGAAATTGGATAGATACCCTGCATTTATCATGCTTTTCAATAACTTCTGATCAACTCGACGAAAGACCCCCTCCTAACTTACCGAAAACTATCATTTTGCATTGACAATAACATCTTGGTGTAAATTAGATACATCCATTCGGGCTAACGCCCTCAAGGTTTATCTAATACATAAAAAATATAATCTGAAAAAATATTGACCACTGGAAAAGATATAACGATCTCTATTAAAATTAAACAATCGGTCCCTTTATGATTAAAGTGTTTTTCCCTCACCTATGTTGATAATCGAAAATCTATACAAAGGAATTAAACTTTTTGATGCGGTATTATTTATTATTGTTTTACTTTGTTATCATACAGGCATTATACTCTATAGAGTGAAGTGTTCTTCTGGAATGAATAATATTGTGCATTTTCATTGTTTCTTGATACATGATCGATGTAACTTTGTGTTAGATAAAGGGCATTAGCTGTCAAATTCATGCTCACCAATTTGACCCAAATTTTCGTATTTGATTTATAACGATTTATACGTATATTCAAATTACAAAAAGTCAAAAAGAAACAATTAACAATGCGAGGACTCGTTAAAATGCATTTCGTGCGTATTTTTAGACTAGACGCCATCTGATTTCCATAGGAACGAACTCCGAAGACTCCTGGTGGTCATATAATCCGATATAAAGATAAATATAAATTTAAAAAGAAACAAACAAACGAGCACGTGCTATCGTATAATGACGATTTTCCAAGGTCTGTTTGATTTCGTTATATATTAAAGATATATTTATATCATCGTTTTACCTATTTAAGAATGATTTTTGGTATGCCGGATCATGCATTCAACGAAATGGTTATTCCTGGTGTCTCCCTTGTTTCTCTTTTCAATGTTGACATTCTGATCAGTTCAATGAAAGAACCACAAGTTGAAAACATACGCAACCTTCTCCACTAAAGGTCAAATTAAAGGTTGCATGAATACGGATTCAAATGAGTTACATCAGGGATGTATGTATTTCAGCTTATTTGGACGAAATTTGACCAATCTGACTGTTAATACCGTAACATTATATCTATATTCTACGGAGCCCTGTTGGTCTCACACAGATTATAAAGTGTCTTTTAAAGTCCTACGCTGAAGATGTGTAAAGTCTAGCGCTGGAGATGTAAAGTCTAGCGCTAGAGATGTAAAGTCTAGCGCTGGAGATGTAAAGTCCAGCGCTGAAGATGTAAAGTCTAGCGCTGGAAATGTAAAGTCCAGCGATGGAGATCTAAAGTCTAGTGCTGGAGATGTAAAGTCAAGCGCTGAAGATGTAAAGTCCAGCACTGAAGATGTAAAGTCCAGCGCTGGAGATGTAAAGTCAAGCGCTGGAGATGTAAAGTCTAGCGCTGGAGATGTAAAATCAATCGAATTATACGAATTCCAAACAAAAAGAAATTAGAAAATTCAGCAAAGAGTCAGAAACTCACTAAAATAAGTAAGAAAATACCAAAACGAAAATAAAAAAATTTATAGACGGAAGAAGAAATGAAGCACACTATGACCAGCAAACAACCATTAGATAGCTGATAGTGGGGGCATAAAGAACCCTCAGATAGCTGATAGTGAGCATAAAGAACCCTCAGATAGCTGATAGTGGGCACAAAGAACCCTCAGATAGCTGATAGTGGGCATAAAGAACCCTCAGATAGCTGATAGTGGGCATAAAGAACCCTCAGATAGCTGATAGTGGACATAAAAATCCCATAGATAGCTGATAGTGGGCATAACGAACCATTAGATAGCTGATAGTGGGCATAAAGAACCCTTAGATAGTTGATAGTGGGCATTACGCAGCAAAGAACAAAACACCCTCAGATAGCTGATAGTGGGCAAAGCGAACCCTCAGATAACTGATAGTGGGCATAACAAACTCTTAGATAGCTGATAGAGGGCATAACGAACCCTTAGATAGCTGATAGTGGACATAAAGAACCCTTAGATAGCTGGTAGTGGGCAAAGCGAACCCTCAGATAGCTGATAGTGGGCATAACGAACCCTTAGATAGCTGATAGTTGGCATAACGAACCTTTAGAAAGCTGCATTCTGGTACAGGATTGTGTGAATGTTCGCCAACGTCGCCAACGTCGCCAACATTTACAAAATCATTACTGTTCGCCAACGTCGCCAACGTCGCCAACATTAACGAAATCATTACTGTTCGCCAACGTCGCCAACATTTACGAAATCATTACTGTTCGCCAACGTCGCCAACATCGCCAACCTTTATGAAATCAATATTGTTCGCCAACGTCGCCAACGTCGCCAACCTTTATTCTATTCTATTCACTATCAGCTATCTAATGGTTCGTTATGCCCACTATCAGCTATCTAAGGGTTCTTTATATACACTATCAGCCATCTGAGGGTTCGCTTTGCCCACAAACAGCTATCTGAGGGTCCGTTATGCCCACTATTAGCTATCTAGGGGTTTGCTATGCCCACTATCAGCTATCTGAGGGTTCGTTATGCTCACTTTTAGCTATCAAGGGGTTCGTTATTCCCACTATCAGCTATCTGAGGGTTCTTTATGCCCACTATCAGCTATCTGAGGGTTCTTTATGCTCACTATCAGCTATCTTAGGGTTCTTTATGCCCCCACTATCAGCTATCTAATGGTTGTTTGCTGGTCATAGTGTGCTTCATTTCTTCTTCCGTCTATAAATTTTTTTATTCTCGTTTTGGTATTTTCTTACTTATTTTAGTGAGTTTCTGACTCTTTGCTGAATTTTCTAATTTCTTTTTGTTTGGAATTCGTATAATTCGATTGATTTTACATCTCCAGCGCTAGACTTTACATCTCCAGCGCTGGACTTTACATTTCCAGCGCTGGACTTTACATTTCCAGCGCTGGACTTTACATTTCCAGCGCTAGACTTTACATCTTCAGCGCTTGACTTTACATCTTCAGCGCTTGACTTTACATCTCCAGCGCTTGATTTTACATCTTCAGCGCTAGACTTTACATCTCCAGCGCTTGATTTTACATCTCCAGCGCTTGACCTTACATCTCCAGCGCTAGACTTTGCATATCTCCAGCGCTAGATTTTACACATATCCAGCGCTAGACTTTACATCCCCAGCGCTAGACTTTACATCTTCAGCGCTTGACTTTACATCTACAGCGCTAGACTTTAGATCTCCAGCGCTGGACTTTACATCTCCAGCGCTAGACTTTACATCTTCAGCGCTGGACTTTACATCTCCAGTGCTAGACTTTACATCTCTAGCGCTAGACTTTACATCTCCAGCGCTAGACTTTACACATCTTCAGCGCAGGACTTTAAAAGACACTTTATAATCTGTGTGAGACCAACAGGGCTCCGTAATATTCCGCTTTTATAATTGTTTGAAACAAAACAAAAACATAGTTTATTTTTTTGTCTTATTTGTAACTAATGACCCTTTAACTGATTATATTATACTGATTTGGTTATACATTTACTTTCAGATTTAAGAATGATTGAACTTAGGGAATCTAGAAGACCCTCACGGAACTGGATATGTGTAGAAACGTAACTGCCATAAAAGAATAAAATTGAAGACTAAATGAACATATTCTGTAATTTTCTTTACAATTTTAAATGTAATAGAAAAAAGATACAGTTATTTTTTAGAAACTTGAATACGGTTTTATTCAAATTTTCTATCGCTTGTTCAATATAAACAGATGGAGACAAACCATTACCATAAACCACAAATTCATTCACTCTTGTAAAATAAACATACTCAAATTATAATTATTTAGAAATTAGTATACATGTATCATTATTAACGAATGTTAGTCAACATTATAAGAAATTGTAAGTTACTGGCTGTACTATTTAACTACAGCACCACAAATAAAAAATATTCGTAGCCAACATTATTTATCTCATAATGACTGAAATATTTGATGTATAATCAGTGATATAATAAACATCTGTAACTTATTGTGATGAGTAATACATGTTATCAAGCAGTTGGTTGTTTTAAAGTTACATAATGACGACTATGTCTTCACAGAACGATATATTTTTTTAAGGTAACCTTACAAGCAAAAGGTCGAATGCATCTTGTGCAGTAAAAATTCTAAATATTTAATTCTATCATCAACCTAGTCGTCAGTGCTTCGCTACTGTCAGGATTTTATAATACTAGTATACAATTCTTAAAATTCGGTTGATAAATTTAGACATTGTTAAACCACCTCAGGTAAATACACTCATCATAGATATCAGGATTAAAACTTTGTACGCCAGACACGTAAAGTTGACCTTAGATTCTTTTGTCTATTCTTTTAAGTTCTTTTGGTCATTTAGGTCTTCAAGTATTTATCCATCTTTGGTTTGCACATTTATTGTATTTGAGAGTTCCTGCTGAAGGAAAATCCAGAAAAGCACCTCGGATTCACATGTTATTTCTATTTACTCATTAAATGTCCTACAACATATAAAAAGTATGCTACAGCAGTAACATGCAGTATGGTTACATGCTTTATGTACGTATATGTTGGCATTGCCGTTGGTTTTCTCTTTTAATGATAGAAAGGTCAAATAACTGTATCTGCAACAACGCCATAATGGAATACAGCAACATTACAATTAATGCAAGAATAAGAAATGACAAATGTACTGAATTCAAATTAAGGATCCAACATCGAAAGTCCTAAACCATGGATTAAAAAGAAAACATGATGGAACAAATAAAAATGGCTGTCATATCCCTGATTTTACGTTTCACAGGAAATTGGTCGGTTGAAACATGTTTTTCGGCACACCAAACCACTTAGAAAGATTTACAGGTCTGTTTCTCTTAGATACAGAGAACTTGACATTCCTCGAATGCACCATTTTGAGCTATCGACCTTAATTTGACCAGACTGTGAATCTATGAACGATCTAAAGATATGTCATTAAGGTGTTCTTTGCGCTTTGCATGCTTACTCGTGTGTCTTGAAAGTAACGTTTTTCAGTCCGACTTGTACGTAAAGTAACCTGTAATTGTTCCCCCGTTTTAGTTCATCCCGTACAGTGCAATGGGTACTATTCGGTATGGGTTTTGCTTATTATTGAAGGCCGCACGGTGACCAGTAGTGGCTAACATCTATGTCATTTGGTCTCTGGTGGATAGTTTGGCACTCATACCACATATCCTTATTTTATAATATACACACAACATATACACATCTACTAGTTTACAAACGTCTGTGTATGAAATGTTTTAGACGTATGTATCCTTATGATAAATTGTTTAAGAAATTGGCATTATATATTATAGTCTTATCAATACTAGATATTTGCCAACAAAATCTGTTTTTTTTAAATGAAATGCTTTTTTACATTACCGTTATTCAAAAATTTAACTGTAGATCAGTGAAAAATCTACAAGATCAGGCATATCTTATAAATTTTAATCTCAAATACAGGTGATGCAGGTATGTTGCTTCTCAAATTAGAATTTAGAATTTCATAGTTAAAATGATTTCATTACTCACAAAAAGGATCCTCCTAAACCCCAGTATTTTTTGTACAGATATCAACAAAATATAGATGGATTTATTCATTAATAAATTATTTTTCTTATATATGTACCAAGTCTTTGGAAATACAAGTCAAAGTGAAGACACATTTGCCAGTTGTTTGAGAAGCTTGTCTCCTAGCTCGTCGAATATCATTCATTGATTGATTGTTGTTTGCTTTACGTCAAATATCTCCTGAATAGGGATCGACCGGGATGAGGGGCGGGAAATTTGGACTGCCACTATAAAGTGAGGGTATGTTGAATAGGAATAGAATTAAAGCCTTGCAACAGGCTACTTACACGGACGCCTCGAAGAGTTGTAGCAAGGGTTCTGTAACGTACAGCGAACTGGGCACTATCTCTACGCGAGGTATCGGATTAAAAGTCCCCATTATCAGTGGATTAGGATATACGTACTGATACATGATCATCCCGCATCTTCAATATGAATACAAATCAAAATAGGCGTAAACAAACATACGTGTACTGTGTTACTCGCTCATTCATTAACGTGCCGTAAATTGATTCCTAATTGATAATGACATGAAGACAGGTACAAAGTATCTATTTACAGATAAGCAAAAACATCTCTTTTGGCAGATTACGTAACGTTGGCAAGTGTGCAAGGTGCCACAATAATAAGTATGGTTGTATCCGTTAAAATGTACATCAATTGCATTTTTGAATTAGGTGAAAAGATTTCTTGGCGTTTAACAAACGAATGTATCCTATCTTGGGGAGATGTAAATGGCATTTAATGTACAAGATCGGTTTATCAAATTTGATCCAAAAAGAAATATTTTGCTCATTATTTTTAATGGTTCTTTAAGATGATTCCACTGTATGATTTTTGTTTAATCCTGGCAAAATCTAGGATTTTTAACTTGAATTAAAAGAAAAAAACATAATACGACTTTTTGACGACCCCGAAAAATATATAGAACATACAATAAGATGAAGGCTTTTAAATAATATATGATGTATATATATATATATATATATATATATATATATATATATATATATATAGCTGCATGTTAGTTTGGTGCATTAAAATTAGTTCAGGTCATGCGAATAGATCAAACAACGTAAGCATGCAGTTTTCTTTATCTTTAGCGCATTTACATGAATGCATGGGGTATAATCAGTAATACTTGAGTTGTTAAAAGATTTTATATCATTATGTTTGTTAAAATGTAAGTATAAACGATCATTTTCTCTGAATATATGTATTTCTAATTGAATTAGATTAAATTAACAAAAACTAGACAAAGATGAGGCCTCCGCTGCATGCATGGATATAGTGCAGTAAATATTTGATTTAGTAGTAAACAAGGATGTTGAAATGCAATTTAAACGATTAAGTCTGAATGAATCATTTGATGCCCCCAACAAAAGAAGGATCTAACACTGCCATTATTGAAAATTTAAAGAAAATCAAAATATTGATAAGGTGCACACTCTAAAAATATGTAATAATACCCTTTAATTTATATAAAAATGTATATGCATAATTTCAATGAATAGGACAGAACTCAACATTCTGTCATTTGACAAATTAAAATACATTCTGTGAATATGCACAACTTTTTTTTTATATGAACACACATTTAGCATAATATAAAAGCTCAAGCTTAAAAACTTTAGGAAGAGATAGCTGAATAAACCAAGTACCTTTGCATGCTAATTTAAAAAAAGTGAAAAAAAAGTGCAACATTCTGTCTTTTGTGGAAAATTTTAAGAAAATCAAAATCCTGATCAAATGCAAATACTTGGAATATGAACCAAGTTCTGACATATACATACAAGTTCTAGCTTGAAAACAGAAGGAGGTCTTAATCGGAAAAACCATGTACCCCTCGTGGCTTATATTAACGAACGAAAGAGACAAAGTTCTATAAACTCCTGACAAAATATGAAAATAAGAAGATGTCGTATAATTACCATCGAGACAATTCTCTTCCAAAAACCAAATTACGTAGAAGTTAGCAGCTATATGTCACCGCAATGTCTTCACTGCCTTCAACAAGGATCAAAACCCATACCGCATAGCAAGCAAATGCACATCTTAAGTATACGAACCAACAACATACATAATATAATAGTTCAAGCTTGAAAACTGTAAACATGTAAAGGATTAACCGGTCAAACCATATATCCTAAGTGGGATGGACAGCTTAGCAAATAGATTCCTAAAGTATTTTCATTCTTTTCATTTGGTTGCGTCTTATCGCACCCCCCCCCCCCTAAAAAAACCCACCTGTTTATATAATAATAAAATATATTTTGGTATTCGAAAACAAATTCACTGAACCAGCAATCAATCATAAACAAATTTGAAAATTGTAAGCAACTAATTTCATTACTGAAAATTTGATTGGATAATATTGTAACGTGTAAAAAGTAGGAAATGCTGTAGATATCAACGATAAATGGCTGATCGTCGGAGAATTCACCTAGATCATCTTGATATTTATAGAGTTTTAGTAATTATCCTAATAAATGTTATACTAAGTACTTATAATTATCTTATTTATCTACTAAGCATGAACTAGTTCAAATATCGTATATTGAACCCGGAGCGGGCCGATCAGTATAGTGTACTGTGACATCACGAATATAATCAGAACAAAAATTGAAAAATTGTTTCAGTCAAACCGCTTAAAATTTCATAACACAATCCAACAAAATATGTTTAAAAGTCTTTTTATTTTCCTTGAAAGATAGAGATATCGAAAATCAATATCAAACGGTATGTGTCGTTTTAATATAATACTGATAAAAAAAATATGGCTTTACATATATTTGGCTTCACGGTTAAAAATGAAACACTGCTGTAATGTTTGATCCCTTTCACACTACAGTATAATTTTAACAAGTAATTCATGTCGCTCCAGGCAAAATAGCAGCTTCGCTTTTGTTCAGTTGGTCATCTTATCTGCGTATGGCCCTCAGTGCCATGAATTATCTCAAAAACTTTACATTACCTTACATTTTTTTCTATCAGCATAAATGGACCTTATACTTTTGCGAAAGTTATTTCTTTACTTTTTTCATTTGCCTTGAACTCCTAACAATACGCTAAAAGAGTATGTCTAACTTTTTTTTCTTTCAAAACAAATGTAGATACTACTTTCTTCTATAAAAAGACACTTCTTATCAAGATTTGTGTCTAGTATAAAGATTAAAACGAAACGAACATGATAAGTCAACACGTGATGAATACAACAATAAATGTTTGAAATTTTCGGTTTGACGATACTAACGATGTTTAAAAGAAAGAGGAGACTTAACCAAGGGGTAATACAAATAACATTTATCCAAGATAACAACAACACCATGACCAAGAGAAAAACAAAGAAAAGACAAACAGCATTCTAAAAACACCACATGGAAAACTAGAGATTGAGCAACACGAACTCCACCAAGAAACCGTGGTTGAAATTAGCACCTTGCTAC